GACTGATGCCACGCGCTCCTTCGGCTATAATAATTGCGTTGCTCAAGATGGGAAATGGGTTGTCAAAGGGATGGAAACTCCTTTATACAACCACCAAGTCATCGGAGCGTCATGGATGTTACGTCGTGAGTTTTCAGAGGACGGCCCGTGGGGTGGTATACTTGGTGATGAGATGGGGATGGGAAAGACGCTTCAAGCTTTGACCTGCATCGTCTCTAATAGGCCTACTGAAGAGGACCTGAAAACCTGTGCTGCATTAACGCTAATTGTCGCCCCTGCTACATCTCTCACGCAATGGGAGGAGGAAATCCGAAAGCACGCCACCGATAAGTACATTGGCGGAGTTTTCCAGTACAAAAAGATCAATTCACTTGAACCCGCGCACCTCAAGATGTTCACGGGTATCATGTAGGTATTCATGATAAAGAAGTCCAAATGATTACTAACTATTGATTTTATAGTCTCGTTAGTTATCACGAATTATCTAGGCAGTTTCCAAGTAAGAAGGTCCGAACTGCGCTTCAGAATGACTGTCGAAGCTCGGAAGAGTGGAAAGAGACATGGGATAGCCACCTCGGCTCGCTTTTCAAGGTTCCGTTCTGGCGGGTAATTCTGGACGAGGCACACACTATCAAGAATAAAGACACACAGAGTATGTTATATATATACCTTTCACTGTGAGAGAAGCTAGTTGATAACGAAACATAGTATCAATTGCGTGCCAAAGCCTGCTTGGGCGATACCGTTGGGCAATGTCAGGGACCCCAATTACTAACTCCCTGGACGGTAAAACTCAAGGATGTGCTCAGTAACGATACTTCATGCTGATACGATATAGAACTCTACCCTTACCTAAAGTTTCTCAAGGTTTCTTGGGCTGGAGACTTCGCTAATTTCCAATATCTCTACGCAAACACGGGAGATGTAAGCCACACTTGTCTTGTGCTCTTACTTCGGCTTACACGTATTAGGATGAATCGGCTCAACGGCTTAGTGTAATGATGAATATACTCATGCTACGAAGGTAAGAATCTAGTTTTCTGTAATTCAACTCGTTCTCATCATTCAATAGAACCTTGGAAGATACTTTCATGGGTCGACCACTCTATGAAATTCCTATGTGCCATATCTCCGTGAGACGAGTTCGTCTCACGCAAGAAGAAAGAGTAATTTATAAGTAAGTAGTTTCTGTTCCACGACATTGTATCTCTGATTACTTAGGTGAAACAGTGTGGTCGAGTCTCGCTTTCGTGCAATACTTAACTATATATTGAGGATTTGCAAGAAAATTCGCCGCGATGATATAAAGATATTTCTTATCTATTTACTACGGCTTCGCCAGGGCGCAGCTCACCCGTTCCTACTAGAGCCTGTGCTGAAGAAGACACTAAAGAAAGAAGATCTCTTGGAAATCAAAGGGCGCCTTAAAGAAGTAGGCGGCCGAAAACCGGTTTTCAAGCAGATTGGGAAGTGGTGTAGCAAAGCAGCAACCGCTATCATAGATAGCACCATCGAAGTCAATGAAAATACCGAGGACTCTTTCGGTAACAGCCAATTCGGCTACAAATTTAACATTAACAAGCAGATAGATATCGCTCTAGCATCACAGAAAGAAGATGTATGCCGGCTTTGCTACCAAGAGCCTGTCAACGAGTACAAAGCCCAGGTGAGTTAAAGTCAAAACAACAGGAAAGAGATTTTACTAACTACATGGTGCAGTGCGAGCATCTTTTCTGTGAGGTGTGTTTGGACGAGCATTTCCAGAGCGAGCGCAGAGAAGGGCGCATAATACCGAGGTGCCCTGACTGCGATGCGTCGTTAACCGAATTCGAGCCGCTGGAAGAGTCCGACAGTGATGATCCGGATATTGATGATTCCCGGAGCGACAAAACATCTCGTCGCTTCCAGCTTAGTCTTCCGAAACAGGGCCGTGACAGTTTTAAGAAACACCCCAAACTAAAGAAATCTCAGTCTAAATTCCTTCGGGAATGTGATCAAGCCTTTCCCAAACCCGTAGTTCCGAGCGCAAAAACAGTAGCCGTGAAAGAGGCTATCCTCAAGTGGCAAGCAGAGGCACCCGACGACAAGATTATCGTATTCATGGAGTTCAAAATGACCGGTGAAATCCTTGGCCGTATGCTGAATGCTGAGGGTATACGCTTTCTCTACTTTTTCGGCGACATGTCTCAAGTCGCCAAGCAAAATGCTATCCGAGGGTTCCACGATAGACCAGATATCAAAGTGATGGTGAGTCCATTGACGAAAACGCGCCGTGAGCTTTGCTAACTGCCTCGAGATCGCTTCTTTCAGATGTGGCTCCGTAGCGCTTAATTTAACATGCGCAAACAGAGTCATTCTCGTCGATCTATGGTGGAATATGGCTATAGAGATGCAGGCATTTTCACGAGTCTTCCGAATCGGCCAAAGGAAGGAAACGCATTTCCTCCGACTCATTGCGCAGAATACCGTCGACAATCGGATCGAGGCTCTACAGGAACAAAAGCTGAAGGATATTAGCAAGGCTTTGGAGCCTGGTGGAAGGGATGATATGTCCATTGAGACTATCGCCGCCCTTTTCGGTCATCTCCAAAAGTCCAATAATGGAAGTTTCGAGGTCTTGCCCGACGGCGAAGATGATGCTGAAGTGGATGAGATCGAGGAGGCTGAGGTGATTGGTGACACCTGATGGCGGCCATCCGCGCAATTCCGATATCGATATTGGTATACTTGCTATATTGCTTGGCACTTCCCCTATAATTCTATCGACCCCCGTTGCCCCTAGATTTCTTGAGAGTTATGGAGTCTCACAGCTCCCAACCCAGGCCCGTCTGGCGGAGTTTTGATGAGGATTCCGATCGCCCCTTCGGAGTTAGACGAAAATCAACTGATGCTAATCAAAAAATAAAAGAAAAAAAAGCCGGGAAAGCAGGAGGGAGAATGAGCTTTCATCAAGTACAATTACCACAGTGCATATCCAACTCCCATATCAATCAGCCCATTCCCTCGCAATTCCCTTTGATAATATACACAGACTAGCTAGATACCGACTCGTCTCAGCCCGTGGATCTCGCATAGTTATAGGCGTGCATTTTATTACTCGATACATTAATCAACATCGATGATTTTACTGACTATGCGGTGGTTACCTACTTGTCACCTCCCGTTTCCTAAATATATGTGATTTTAGCAACTGCCTTGACGGTATTCTTTGTATTATGGCGAGACAAATGTCTAAAGTGATCATAAGTATGCAATCTGAGTTTAAACGAAAACTTGGACGATGGGATCATGAAGTTGCAACCCACCGAGAATTAGTAATGAGTATGGTATAGATCATTTGATTCAAGCGATTTCGTATGGTATAAAAACATGAACCAAATAACGCTCAAAGGTAATTAATTATAATACTCACTTCTTAAGCCGTTCGCGCCGCCTGAGCAGCTGGGATTGTTAGTTCATATAATTCAGGCCTTAAACTTTCAGTGGCATGGGCAATAACGCAGCAGTCAAAATCTTTCTAATCTGTATAAAATGCGATGAGAAAGTGATAGGACAATGAGCTGGTGGGCTGCCTACGATGATTCAGACTACGAGAAACTGCGGAGCCTAAGACGGAGCAACAATCTAAGCCTGACCCCGCCTACGCTATTAAACCAAGTCGATTCCCCAACAAATAAATTACTGACCATCGCGACACTTTCAATCCAAATAATAAAAAGCAGTTATTTGGCGAAAAGTGGCATCATGGCGACTAATACTGACTCAAAAGAAGTGGTTGAGCTCTTAAAAACGCTCATGAACATCGAGAGCACGAGCGAAAAGGAGCTCGAAATCGGCCAATACCTCGCGACATACATCCAAAGCCGTAGTTTCACCGCAGAGAGGATCCCCATCGCAGCGGGCTCTACCCGACACAATGTCTACGCATACCTAGGCCAAGAGCGCAAAGCGCGGCTCCTCGTGACGGCGCACATGGACACGGTACCGCCGCATATCCCCTTCAGTATTGAGGGAGACGTGGTGCGCGGGCGCGGGGCCTGTGATGATCTTGGCCCAATGGTCGCGCAGATCTTCGCTGTCGAAGAGCTGCGGGCCGAGGGCAAACTGAAGGAGGGCGACGTGAGCTTCCTGTGGGTTGTGGGAGAGGAGAAGGGCGGCCCGGGGATGATTGCTGCGAATGATATGGGGCTAACCTGGGAGGCGGGGCTCTTTGCTGAGCCGACGGAGGGTAAGGTGGCGAAGGGACATAAGGGGAATCTTGTGTTCGAAGTCATCGCTCATGGGAAAGCTTGGTAAGTGTTCCACGGAGTTTTCTTGGGGAGTGAGAGAGGTGTTGAAGTGCTAACTGACGACAACGAAGCCATTCCGGATACCCCCACCTAGGCAAGAGCGCAACACTGCTTCTCTTCGACGCGATGCGGGATCTTGGCGCGGTGGACTGGCCCGTCTCTGACCTTCTCGGTCCTACAACGCTGAACATCGGCAAGATCGAGGGCGGCGTAGGCTACAACATCCTCGCGGCCGAAGCTAAAGCTCTCTGCAGTATTCGTGTCGCGAAGGATGTAGAGGGTATCAAGCAGACCGTGAGGGAGGTCATAGATAAGCATCCCGACGTCGAGGTCGACTTCAAGTTCCAGTATCCGGAAATGGTGCTGCAGTGGGAGTTTGAGGGTTTTGAGGCCGAGCCCATGGCGTATGGTACGGATATACCGAGACTAAAGGGGGATCATAAGAAGGTGCTGTATGGTCCGGGTTCGATTCGCGTGGCGCACGGTAAGGATGAGTATATCCTTGTTAGTGAGATCATGGAGGCGATTGAGAAAAATAAGGAACTCATCCTGGAATTGCTAAAATAGGTAGGTAATTACTTATTTAAAAATACGATAATGGTGAGGGCAGATGACCAGATATGACTGACCTAAACTAAGAGCGTTTACGGGTATTCGGTGGAAAGAGAATAAGGGGGTGACAGGAAGAGAAAAAAAAAAAGGAGGAAAAAACTCCGAATCGGGGAATCGAACCCCGGGCTTGACGGTTCTTCACTTATGAGAGCGTCAAATGTTAGCCACTACACCAATTCGGATCCGACAGAGAAACCGTTCACCTGTAATGTGAAGTGGATGACCAATTAGATGCTATAACAAGGGGAGGGGTAACCCCTCCATGGTGAGACCCTTAGATTAAGTAAAGATAGCTACCTCGAATAACCCCGCTGCGCTTGTCGGATCTTTTCTACACTATGTCTTACCTAGATAAGTTACTTGAATAGGCCATGGCTCGTCTCTTTCTATGTGAGAAAAGTTATCTTGTATAGGCTCGTGGAACGGCCATTTAGGTGTGTGAAACCTACCTGTTACCCTTCTAGGCAACATGATTGGATCTCGTAAAGCTAGATTAGTTGACCGCCTAGAACCCCAGCTTGTTGGCGCCTTTGCTGACATCACCGTACATAGATGACAAAGCTCAGGCAATAAACCACGTTTGTAGGACATGGGTAGGACATGGGTAGGACATGGACCGAACATGGGCAGAAACATGGGCTATCCAGATCAGAAATGCTAACTCGTCAAGTCCCCGATGCACCGGATCCGGGAACCGGGACTGCGGTTCTAGGCCATCCAATGGTAGGCTAGGCAATGGCTATCGGTGCAGCGCCAGTTGATGCAGCGCTACCCTATCTAGGCCCCTCAGTGGGGGGCGTTCTCGCTCGTGGGCTGTTAGTTTTACATAAGTAAGGATAAGGTCGGTATTTGAACCAAAGAATTGCCAGAAACCACGGCGCCCTGGGAGTGACTTCTTGCGCATGCATCACTGTCAGTCAATTGGATTAACAAAGCAATAAACCAGGCTCCGAGACCAATGTCAGCTCACTCTTAGGCAGGCAGGAACAAGTGCAGGCACCACAAACGCAGGTACAGGCAGAGAATATCTCGGCGCATCGCCTCACTACCTTATATGTATACCAGCCCAACCTCTAGATCCTAAGCCGTTTGCCTTGACTCTTTCCCAACTCAACACACCTTCGAGTTAGAGCACCAACAACCTTCTCTCTCTCTCTCTCTATCTCCCTCCCACATTCCTCTCGGTCAAACTTACGAAAACCTACACAAATTGCATATCGCGAGTCTATTAACAAACAACAAGTCAAGATGTCTTCGGGAGCTGGCAGTGGTGGTAATCGCAGCTTCGCTGGTCAGTCACTTCCTCCCCCTCTCCCCCTCTCCGCTACGAAGTTTGAATGCTGACTTAGAGTGTATTCAGATCCCGGTATCGTGCAGACGCCTACCGTCTCCGAGCCATGGTCGGTAGAGAAAGTGTTAGCTACCGTGGCTCCAGCACCACCCGTCGAGGGCACCGACTCACCCGTTCCCTACTTCCACATTCTCGAGAGATTAAAGACAAACAAACGCGAGGGATGGAGACGTTTCGGCATTGAGAGGTACCGTAACTGGACATACCCGGCCGCAGACTCTTACAAGCTAACACCAACGCTTAATTATAGAGGCGAATCGATATCCGACCACATGTACCGCATGTCTCTCATGACCATGCTCTGCCCACCAACCCTCGCGCCCAAGCTCGACCTTTTCAAGTGCATGAAGATGTGCCTAATACACGACATGGCCGAATCCATCGTCGGCGACATCACCCCCGTCGACGGCGTGGCAAAGCCCGAGAAGAGCCGCCGCGAGGCCGAGACCATGGATTACATATCCAAGAACCTGCTCGGCAAGGTCTACGGCGGCATGGCAGGCGCGGAGATCCGCGCCATCTGGCAGGAGTACGAGGACTCGGAGACCCTGGACAGCCACTTCGTGCACGACCTCGACAAGATGGAACTGCTGACCCAGATGATTGAGTACGAGAAGCGCGCCAATAAGGCGCTTGATCTAGGCGAGTTTGCTTATGTGGCGACGAGAATAGTGCTTCCCGAAATCAAGACGTGGGCGGAGGAGGTCCTCAAGGAACGCGACGAGTTCTGGGGCGCTAAGGAGCATGTGCACGGCGAGGCGGGGGTGGATGGTGGTGTTGGCGCGGAGAAGGTACAGAAACAGGAGGCGTACTACAATAAGGAGGATGGAGCGGGTGCTTGATCCCAGCGATGAACAGCAACGTGGTCCATTAGACTATGAGGATACTTGGCTCAGGGTATCTAGACGTTTTACACCGAGGACTTGTCGTGGTGCGACAACACATGAGGGCGAATTAACTAGAGGCGCCCATTATTAGACGCATGAGGTCTGTTAGAGATACATAGACCTAGTCCATACCCAACATTAATCGAGGGAAATGAGATGATTGACATGATTTGAGGTAACACATGTGTGTATGCTGATGATTTGTGCAAGCGATGGAGGTAGTACTTAGCTCAAGTAGATTAGGTAGGTACCTCAGGCAGAATGCCCCGCAATGGTTACTTACTTAACAGGGATGGTTGAGACAGGTCTGAGCAGGAGTATGCAGACCAACTGAGGGTAGCCCCCCCCCTGTCTACCTGAGAGTCCCGTGCGAGTACCATACAAATAATCTACGGAGTACATAGCAGCCACACAGCAGTTATACCACCGCCACACCAACTTTTACACCTATGCCACACACCTAAAAAGTTTACAACTTATATAACTTTACTAAAATTAGCTTTATATATATATAACTAATACTAATTAATAAACAATTAAAAGCGCTATTAATTAGTTTAAGTTATATTTAATTTTAACTAATATTAGTTAAATTATTTAAGTTATAAAAGTTAAAAGTAGGTTATGTAGCGTATTAGTAGGGTAGTAGTGTAGCGCGGCAGTGTGGCGCGGCAGTATGGCTGCGCTAAGTAGTCCGAAGGTGATTTGTATAGTACTCGCACGGGACTCTCAGGTAGACAGGGGGGGGCTACCCTCAGTTGGTCTGATTGCTCTCTGAGCAGGATCTATTATTGGATTAGTTAGAACAAACAGAATTGGAATAAGCCGGTTTTGGTTTTGAAGTTTATTTAAAGATCAATTACATAATATCGAATTGTTAGGAGGAAGGATCTTCATTTCATACCTCGGGATTTAGTTACAAACAATGTCTATTCGCTAAACTGCTGATTTCATTTCTGTCAAACTCACTCTCCGCTTGGTTAATTCCAACATCGATATTTCTAGTACTGCTCATGCTAGACCCAGTCGAAAGATAACCGAGTGTTATTGCCGTGAGCCCGCGAATGAGAGCTCTAAGAGATCTAGACTAAGTGGCTGTAGAATTTTGCCCCCTCTAGTTGTCTCTAGCCTAGCTGAGTCCATGAACTCCGTCAGTTGACCACCGGCTAGGTTCGATTCTATCAAACCAGTACGAATGCGTCCCCTGCGGCACGAGACCCCGGCTCTCCAGATCACCCAACACAGAAGTGGTTCATTCCTGGCAACGAGTAAGCCTGGCTCGCTGACAAGCCGACTTGAGCTTGTTACGATCCGATTCCGAAAAGTCACAGACAAAGTAATGGTCGCCAATTCCGTGATTTTTAAAACGCTTGCTGTCTTGAATATTAACCTCATAGCTACCAGCTCCGCCAGTAACGTGATACCACGTTCCTCTGTCCTCTTCTGGGTTCTTGAGTATTAACATCCAATGCAGTGGGTCATCGCCTCGACGTTTCCCCATTGCAACATATAATTGTAAGCCAGCCATATTGTGGCAAAGAGAGGGGCGTAGGTATGGCGACGATGGAGATCGGCGAAGGGGGATTGTATTGTGCCAGTTCTGTCGTTTGATGGGTATCTATATAAGCCTTTGGAGAATGGCGAGGCGAGTTAGCGGCCAGTTGAAAACTTCAAGCCGCCAATAAAGGAACCAGATGTCGTTGCTCTCATTTTCTCTTAGGTGAAAGGGCTAAGATCGTGTTGATTCTTCGGTAGCGTTCGCGAGATCGGTATTGGGCGGTTCGAGTGTCTAACGGACACAGCCATACGAGATAACATGGTTGCATTTCATCACGAGGGAAGCGTGAGTTAAATGAAACACGTCGCTATATAGGGAAGCAAGCAATGAGCGACCTTGAGGTTCTTGTAGAACTATGGCTTGAATCATAGCCATTCTGCAAAACTCTTGTAATAGGGAATATAAGGAGTATCTAATGTAGTAGTTTGCAATAGCCATTGTAGTGAGCTTGTAGTAGGGGTAGTAATACACCGTCAAGGTACGAAACAAGGCATTGCCTTGTACATTATCTGCCTCTCTATTGCTGCAGTAAACTTAGGGGAAGAGAATACACTACAACTTCACTGATACTATCGCAAGCAGACTCAGAGATATTACGGCCATTTACCATTATCTATTGCAAGCTACCAAATAATCTCAGTTGTATTCCATATAGCCGACAACTCCTTCAATCGAGGCTGCAATACTTTGTCCAACGCCCTTTCTTTAATCCAGCCGCTTTGCCAATCTGGTCGTCTCATCGCCTTGCAGTACTCCCAATAGTCGGGGTAATAGCCCGAAAGCTCCCAATCGAGGATAGCTACCACTTTCGATCCCTGTACAAGTATATTTCTGGGAGCAAAGTCGTTATGCGTAAACACAATCTCGTGTCCCTTCATTGTCTCTAGAAAGATTTCGCATACCATTTCGACGTCGACACGGGCTTCTCTTTTGCCTTTCTTCAGTGCCTTGACAATGCCGGCATTGAAGTCATCCTCGTTTTGGAACGGCCCATAACCCCCACGCTCATCATCAAAGAAGTGGTCATCGCACCACGAACCGTCAATTGACCCGATAAACGTTCCTTTGAGTTGACGGAGCTCATGCATGTAGCCCCGTAATTGTGTGACGACGGATTCTTTCTCTGTGGTTGAATATGTATCCCACGCTTCCTCTAGCTCGACGCCTTCGATGAACTCCATTATAATGCGAGTATGACCAGACTCTTCATCTTTGTAGGCGTTGTAGACTTCAGGTATTGGGATGCTGGTATTGTTGCGAACATATCTCATAGTCTCAGCTTCTGAAAGACGGATGTCTTTACTAGACTTCACAACAGTCTTTGGATGAAGCTTGTAGACTGGTGTAAAGTCCCCAAATCGTTGGGCATTGGCAAGATCCTTTTGC